GGGTCCCCCTGGTCGGAGGCCACCTGGTCCAGCACGTGGGCGGCCGGCACCACGACACTCAGCACCAGCGGGAACAGGCCCCACTGCGGCTTCATGGGGGCGGGAGGAGCCGCCGGCCTGGGGACGCACGGCGGGACCGGCTGCCGGAGCAGGACGCTGGCTCGCGCCGGGCCGGGCGTCTCGGGTCCTGCAGGCACGCCCGGTGGGCCAGCCGTCCTGAAAGAGAGCCACACATAGGGTGACCCACAGACGCTCACGCTGGGCGAAGCGCCACGTCCTAGACACAGACACGGGACACCCACGAGGACACCGCGTGGATGGGCGAAGGGCAAAGCCGCGGCGAGGGGCTCCGGGCTTGGACCGCGCACCCTGCCCCCCGCCCCCGCGGCAGTGTCCAGGGCGCGGCCTCCACGCCTCCCGGCGCAGACCGGGCGATGGGCATCACGGGTGCGCACAGCCCGAGGGGCCAGGCCCGCACACTGGCGGGGCAGTGGGGGACAGGCCTCGGTCACCCGGGGGAGGAAATGGCCCGCGGCCTCTGGGGGAGGTTAGGACGCCACCCTGAGGCGGCCTGGGCCGCGCACGACGAGGGCGGGCCCGGCACCTGGGCCTCTGTGGGAACAAGGCCGACACAGTGGACGCCAGGAGAACAAAAGGGCGAGGCGACGTCCCAGGGGCCAAGCACCGCCGGCACCTTCCGGGGATCTGATTTGCCTTTACGTCACCGACCCTACCGCAAGTTCCCACAGACTACAGGTCAAACACTGCACCCCAAGATGATGGTGTGGCTCAGCTGTGTGTCAGCAGGCTGCCGCCCCTGACCGCCGCCGCTGCCCCTGACCGCCGCTGCCCCGACCACCACCGTCACTAACCACCGCCACCCCTGATCGCTGCCTCCACTGAGTGGCCCTGTGAATACAGGTCCATGGCCAAGGTCAAGGGGCGGGGATCCTGTGGAGACACTGGACACAGAGAAGGCTCTCCTGTCCTCACTGGGCTGTGGGCCTCCACAGCCGGGCGCTGTGCAGAGGGCTGTCCTGGCCGCAGGGCCCCCAAGTGGCGGGTCTTCTGCCCCAGGGCGGAGGCCACGAGGCCCGGGCCCTTCCTGGCACCTGCTACATTCTCTCAAATGAAAAGGGCCGAGGCTAATGACCGCAGACGGACCGCGCCACCTCCCGAAGCCTCCCTTTGCCCCTTGCCCTGAAGATACGTGGAAACCAGTGGCTACAAGCCTGGACTTTGCGGGCCAGGCTGAACCTCGCAGCCTTTACAGAGAGCCCCGAGGGGCGGGCCCGGGGCAGCCCGGAGACTCAGCACTGCGCCTGCCGGCCCCTCTGCTGAAGGCTCCCGAGGAGCCCGCCGCGGAGGCACGGCACTGTGTCCTGGGCCATTCCCTGGGCACCTGCCCGCCTTGGAATGTCGCGACACTACTGTGAACTGGGGCTCCTCCAGGCAGGGCTAGGGACTCCTGGGGTTCCTGAGACCTTCCAAAACAATCCTCACAACTCTAGGCCGTCTCCCCCTTCACCTGCACAACCGGTAAGTTGCAATTACCCAGAGGCCACAGGTGCTACAGGTACAGCAACGTGCCCGGCACTCAGAGGTGGAGGGACTCGCCTGTCACCCGCGGGCTCAGTCCCAAAGGGCTGCGCCCCCTGACAGGAAGGGCGAGGAACCTCGTCACCCACCCGCCAGAGCGCGCACGCTCGACAGCTGGGCAGGGGCCGTGGCCGTGGCCACTGGTGAGGACGGGCGGCCAGGCGGGACTGCTGGGCAGGGGCAGCCGCCCGCTTCCCTACCGCCAGGCAAGGAGGGCAGGAGACGGGGAGATCCGGCATTAAAGGCCCCAAACCAACATCTCCCTTCCGAGCGCTCTGTCCGTCTAGGCACACGCTCGCGCCTGTGGCCAGGCGGCCAGTCGCCGCCGGCCTGTGAACCAACGGCCCTGAAAGCCGCTGGCGACGGAAGGCGCTGTGTGCTGATCCAGCCCGGGGGCTCGGCCGCCGCCGCTGTTCTCAGTTCAGGTCCCGAGCGACCGGGGCCCTCAGGCAGCCAGGCCTGA